GGTTTAACATGACAGTTAAAGGGACTGTACAACTAGGTTTAACATGGCAGTAAAAGGGACTGTACTACTAGGTTTAACATGTCAGTTAAAGGGACTGTACTACCAGGTTTTACATGGCAGTTAAAGGGACTGTACTACCAGTTTTAACATGGCAGTTAAAGGGACTGTACTACCAGGTTTAACATGGCAGTTAAAGGGACTGTACTACTAGGTTTAACATGGCAGTTAAAGGGACTGTTATTTATACTGTCCATTTCCCTACATTAATATTCTCTGTAAATTGGGGTTGTTCTTGGCCAAATCACTAAATAAGCCAAAGAAAAAGAAAATTTTAAATAGATGATGGGCGCGAAGCGCCCTAAAAGTCTAGTATCTTAATAAATTGACATCGCTTTTTAACGACGACCTTTACCATTATTAATTTTGTCATTTTTCAAAAAAAAACTTTGAAAATATTAAAAAATATTTATGTAAGCTGTCCTCTTTTTTAATTCTTTTCTTATAGCTTTTACAACTATTTTTTTTATTTGAATAAAATAAGTATTAATAAATTGAATAGATCTAATAAGCAGCATGTGTGAAAAAACAAAGTTTTAAATAACATTTGCATATTCTTTAATTTTTCCATTACTTTTAAATATATTCTCGCTAACAAGGTTTGTTTGTGTTTGATATTTATTGTTTACATTTTATCTCAGCCTGTTGTATAATTGAATGCACAGTAAAGTATAAAAAAGATCAATGATTTTATATTGAACATAAATATAGATTGTTTGTAATTATATTATAAAAACACTTGTTCTGAGAATCCCTCAAGTATAAACAGTTTGTAATCTTTCATTTAATAAGTTAAATTGTTTCAGCAATATTATTTTAATTTTATCTATAGAGCAGAGATTGAAAGAAGGAGAGAATAACAAAGAGAGAAACAAGGTTTTGCGAATTTTCTTCAATTTTAAGAATTTTATCTTAAAAAAGAATTTTCAAGAATGTTTGAATTAATAAGAAATTTAAACTAACAATATTTTAGTTTTCAAAATAAAATATCAGCCTTGAAATTATCTTTCTAAAAATAGGAGTTTTTTGTGAAAATATTTTTGTAAAGAATTTTAAAAAACTTTCCTGCTCGGGTTAAAAAATAAACCATGTCTAAAAACACAGAAATGTTTCTAGGATAATTATTTTGGACTTTGTCATCACAAACAAATAAAAAAAATATTAGCGCATTGTAAAAATTTTGGAATTGTGTCGTTAATTAATATACAAGTCATTTAGAGGTGCGCAATAGAGCTAATTCTCATAGATTTTACAGATAAGACATGAATTGTTATGATATAAGTGTCTCAGCTTAACCTACAGTACTGATGAGGACATAATAGAAATGTCGAAATACATTTTCTGAAAAAAAGTGGTTCCTTCTATGTTGGTTAAACCTTCCACCAACTATATTGTTTTGTTAGATGATTATGATAATTGATTCAGAGCGCTTTATGGGACTCAAAGAAGTTCGTAGTAAGATTTCGATTCTACTGGAGAGATTTTATTTTCACTGGAGGGGTTTGAAAAAATGCCTTTTACAATTTAAAACTTTACGCAGGGTGATTTACATTCCACTGGAGGGATTCAGATATCCTTCCTGGGGGTTTATAATTCCACTGGGGGATTCAGTTATCCTTCCTAAGGGTTTATGATTCCACTGGAGGGATTCAGATATCCTTCCTGTTTTTTTTTAATTCCATTGGAGGGATTCAGATATCTTTCCAGGGGATTATAATTCCACTGGAGGGATTTAGAAATCCATCCTTGGGGTTTATGATTCCACTGGAGGGATTCAAATATCCTTCATATGGGTTTATAATTCCACAAGAGGGATTCAGAAGTCTTTCTAGGGGGTTTATAATTTTACTGGAGGGATTCAGATATCCTTCCTATGGTTTTATAATTCCACTGGAGAGATTCAGATATCCTTTCTGGGGGATTATAATTCCACTGGAGGGATTCAGATATCTTCCCAGGGGTTTATAATTCCACTGGAGAGATTCAGTTATCCTTCCAGGGGGTTTATAATTCCACTGGAGGGATTCAGATATCATTCCTGGGGGTTTGTAATTCCACTGGAGGGATCCAGAAATCCATCCTAGGGGTATATAATTCCACTGGAGGGATTCAGATATCCTTCCTGGGGGTTTATAATTCCACTGGAAGAATTCAAATACCTTTCCAGGGGGTTTATGGATCCACTGGAGGGATTCAGATATCTTTCCAGGGGGTTTATAATCCCTCCAGTGGATTTAAAAAACCCCTGGAAAGATTTCTGAATCTCTCCAGTGGAATAATAAACACCCTGGAAAGATATCTTAATCCCTTCAGTGGAATTATAAACCCCTAGGATGGATTTTTGAATCCCTCCAGTGGAGTTATATACCCCTAGGATGGATTTCTGGATCCCTCCAGTGGAATTACAAACCCCCTGGTAGGATATCTGAATCCTGTGAGCTTATAAACCCCCTGGAAAGATTTCCGAATCCCTCCAGTGGAATTATATACCCCCAGGGAGGATTTCTGAATTCTTCCAGTGGATTTATAAACCCTCGAAATATTTCTGAATCCCTCCAGAAGATTTAAGAACCCATAGGAAGAATATCTGAATCCCTCCAATTGAATTATAAACCCCCAGGAAAGATAATTGAATCCCTCCAGTGGAATTATAAACCCCTAGGAAAGATATATGAATCCCTCCAGTAATTACAAGTGCCTAGGAAGGATTACTGAATCCCTCCAGTGGAATTATAAATCCCCTGGAAAGATATCTGAATCCCTACAGTAGAATTTTAAACCTCTAGGAAGGATATCTGAATCCCTCCAGTGGAATTATAACCCCCCTGGAAATATATCTGAATCCCTCCAATAGAATGTAAATCACCCTGCATAAAGTTTTTTTGCAAACCCCTCCAGTGGAAATGAATTCCCTCCGGTGGTCTCCAGTGGAGTCAAAATCTTCCTACGAACTTCCGTGACTCGCTTTATGGTGATTATTTAGATATTGAGCACTGATTACTACAGTGAAAAGGTTAAATTTATGGGGCATTACTGTTACGACTTTGTGACCTCGTAGCTCTTCTAGTTTTGATCTCCTGAACAATCTATATTTCCTCGGCCACATTACATATTAGAAATTCAAAATATTTTTCTACTTCTCAATACAGTTCTTGACTAAGTAAAGTTGTGATTAAAAACATATCTGATATCTGACCTACTCAACTTAAAACCATTCTTAGAACCATTCTTAGAACATTCCCATGGTTCTCCAGAGTTCACCAATCAAAATTTAAGGCAAATCGTTTACGGGGTTCCTAAGTTATGATCTGAAATACAAACAGAGCAACAGAGATTACAACTTTGTATATATATATATAATATTAGATGCACGTTTTCATCGATTCTAGGTTTACATACAAATTTTAAAATTTTAAAATATTTTTTTTTCTGTTTTGTTTGTTGAATTACAGCAATGATTAATCTATCTAATCTATTTATGTTTTGAATAAAGAATGACATTACGAGTTTAGAATGAAAACATGACAACATAAAATGGTCTATAAATAAACAAAATAATAAAATGGTTGATAGACAGGTAGGGAGTGAGAAAAAAACTTGAAATTAAAAAAATTCAATTTGTTATTTAGAAATAAAAACTAATAAAATTACACTGAACATTTCATTTTTCTTGTAAAACTTTGAAAATTTATTTAATTCAATACAAGAACAACAATTTTAAAAGCTGGAATACTGACTTTGAATTCTTGTAAATTAATTAAAATCTAAAACTTAGATATTCTAACTTTTCAAAACTAAAATTAAAAAAACTTTAGTTTGAAGTGTTCAGAATTTTAAGTAAATTTATTTAATACAACTTTTAAAAATTTCTTTCAGACTGGGATTGGCCGAGTTCACTGTGCACGGTGCAGTAATTTAAACCATTTTGAGCCAAAACCCCGACTGAGTGTGGGTGGGAGGGGGTACGGTAATGCCTGCGGGGGAGGGGGATAGGGGACTGTCTAGATATTTTGAGAAGAGTTCAGTCAGTCTTTTATCTCCTGTCGTAGGAAACCAAGCTATATTTATGTATAAATATACA